TGTGACACTTAAACCCCAATGACATGATATACTTGGTTGACTTCTAACATTACAAAATTTCCATTTCTCAATCCAATGCTTTAACTCTTCCAACTGAGGAATACTCGCTCCTTTTAAAGTTAGAGCACATCGAGCTGGTTTATCTGCATATAATTTATATGAATTCAATATATCGAATAAAGTATCCATGCGTTCAACAAATCTTGCTGTTGGTAATACGCTTAAAGGACGTGAATTTGTATTAGAGCAGCAATACAATGCAGAAGCAACCTGATAACTAAAAACTTGAGTGGCAAGTTTAATCTTCATAGATAAAAGAGGACCAGGGTCTAAGTGTCTATCTGTTAGTTTTGGCGCTAGACGCACAGAGTTTATTTTGTCTAAATTGTAAAGAGACTGGATGTGTTGCCAAGAAACTATTTCACCATTAATGTCAATGTTATGTCTTCGCAAATTGTTTCTGATACTTTTTACTAAATGCGGAGGATCAAAAATAACATGAATATTTTTATTATTGGAAGGATTAGGAAAGTATGGTAAATTATTGGGAAAACCCAAGCAAACGTAAGGCAGCTATATTAGTAGATCCTTGATCACAAACTACACATCTAATGTGTAAACCAGTTTCTTGAACCTTAGAAATGCTTTCACGTAGTAAAGAAGCCAAGTTAGCTGTTGCTATTGTTGAATTATTATAAAAATAAGCTATTGGTTGTTTCCATTTATTTGCTAAGCCTCTAACCATAATTACAAGAGCCTGATTTAAAAGTTTTCCATTTTTCATACCGTAAACCCTGTCAGAATTTCTATCATACTCTAAATGCTGTTTTAATGACATTTCATCCATAACAAGACTGACATTACGATCAAGCGGATTCATTGCATCAGCACGTAACTTTAATAAAGAAAACAATTGAGTAGAAAATTCTTCTTGAAGATCTGAAAATACACGGGACAAAAATAATAATAAACAGGTTTGACTTGGTAAACAGAATATTGTTCGCAAGACATTAAAAGTTTGAGGACTATGAAACAGAATTCGCAAAGCCAAAACTTTGTCACAAACTGCCCAGCATTTTCCTTTATTGTATTGTTTACTAATTTCTAATTGACTTTTAAAAAAACTAACTTGTATAGGTGATAAGTATTTCCTGGATAAATTTAAAATATGTTTTATAGACCCATCACAGTTTTTTTGGGTTTTTTGTTTGGATTTTAAATGTCGAACTTGTTTACGTAGTCTAGAAACTTTGACTCGCAATATTAATAGTAACCTTTGAAGTTTGTTGAAATTTATTTTATTAGTAGACATTTTGTTCTCTAAATTACTATGTAAACAAACAACTTGCTTTTTTGCTGGAACTGAATGACGTTCAACTGGTGGTTTCCTTTTGCAACCAAGAAGTGGAGGAGGATTTGGGATGTTAAAAATAGTAGGAATTGCTGATTGTAACAAACGTTTTCCACCATTATTTGTAGAATAATACATTGTATTTTCAAAATGATTACTGCACAAATAAAAGTTTTTGTTTAAAAATACAAAATCTTTTTTGTCTAAATCTTTCCTACGACAGTTGATGACCCACTGTTTACATCTAAAAATTAAACAATAAAAGAATGTTTTAAAATACTACAATAATAATTTTATTAACTTTTTATGAAAGAAAAGTTATTATAAATAATATATGAATTAACTTGCCTTTTTTCGTCTTTAGGAAAACAAAAAAATGAAATATCTTTACAGTTCTTTCCACTCTTATTTCCACAGTTTATAGCAGCACAAAATGATGGCATTGTTATAACTAAGATAAAAATTCTTTTAAGTACATACAAAAATAACTATTCGCAACTTAATATAATAAAATTCTGAGGTCCGGCAGGACATCCCAGAGTGCTTTGCGATAAAATTACAACGAGTTATATGAAATTATGCCTGACTGAATAGGCTTTGATTGAGAATACCTAAGTGCCATTGAAGACAGTTTCTCTTCATAACCAACGTCAATAACTGTTTCTTTAGAGGTTTTCTGGCAAATCTGCTAACTTCAAGGAGCCTTTGTCAGACAGTTGAAGAAGAAATATTTACGCCTGATGTGGACAAATCTCTCTGAAGGTCTGCACTTGTTTTCTTAGGATCCTTTATACTTTCTCTGATGATAACTGTATCATCGCGAGGTGTTGTCTTATGTTTTCTTCCACATCTTTCTTGTCACAGTGTTGAAGGTTCACCATTTTTTTTTTTTCTTTTCAAGATTTCACCAACGGTTGACTTAGCCACCTTCATTTTCTTAGAAATCTGTCTAATGCTCAAGCCAGCATGTTCTTTAAGAGCTATAATGCTTGCACATTTCTTGGGAGTGATATCCATTGTGAATACGTGGTGAATAATCCGTCACAACCTTTCTGCACAAAGCCTGGAGTAGCACTGAAGCCACTGATGCGTTTGCTAGAATGTCTTCCTGGCAGCAAAGAGTTGCCAGACACCACTAGACTACAGTAAAACACTTATTTATCTGAAAAAACAAGAGAATCTTTAGTATCATAGCTAAAAGTTGGGCATATTGTGAAAATTATTCCAATTTTGCCACTGTCCGAACTAATTTGCACAATACTATATATATATATATATATATATATATATATATACATATATATATATATACATATATATATATATATATATATATATATATATATATATAATATATATATATATATATATATACATATACACACATATACACATATATATGTATATAAATATATATATATATATATATATATATATATATAATATATATATATATATATATATATATATATATATATACACACACACACAGTCTTCTCTGTTAACGAGCGCTTTCGCGCTCTTGCAATTTTGCGCTCACCCACACATTCCCGCTAATACTACGGTTTTTTAATACGACGTTTTTTCGCTAATACGACGCTTTTTTAAGTGCTCGCCAAAAAATTTCAAGTGTGTTTTTAAATAGCAACGAATCTTTTTGTTCATCAAATATTTTGATAATAAATTGTAATAACACTTATTTATTTACATATCTTTAAAATAGTCATTAAAAACCTATGTATTTTTTTTTTTACGTAACTTAAACACTAAGTTGAACTATAAAAATTTTCAATGCAATGTTATCCTATAGCACTTTCCACAATGGAATTTAATGATGAAAGTAATCAATGAGATAAAAGATATTTTGCCCATTTTTGCAAACCAATCAGAAGCTTTTTCTAACATGTATAAACACGCTATTAGAAAAAGGAGAAACTATAATGTATAAAAAAGGAAAAACTATAATGGCAGCAAAAGGAAATACAAACATTAAGTTTAGCGTATTTAATAGGTGGGACTTTAAAGATATTTTCGGCTGGAAAAGGAATAAGTCGATGTAGATGTTAGCGATTCGGAGTCAGAAGAAAATGCAGACTCAAATGATGAAATTTAGAAAAAAAAAATTCAACCCTACTTTGCTTATTAAAATACTTAAAGGTTCTTAAACTAAATTAATATTGTTTTGAGGTTTTTGTTTTAATAAGAAAAATAAATCGTCATTTTATTTATTTATATATATATATATATATATATATATATATATATATATATATATATATATATATATATATATATATATATATATATATAATATATATATATATATATATATATATATATATATGCTTTAGGTCTTGTGATGAATAAAAAATGCTTAACACTCTCTCCTAATAAAATTTTTGACCTTACAAAATTCTTTTTATTTGCTTTTTATGGTTATCAACTTTTTTGAACTACTGCAGTATACTAAATTACTGAAAAACTAGTTTGATTGAATAATTACCTCTAAACAACATAAAAAAACAATGTTGAAACTATACTTTATCTCAAAACAACATAGAAATATGCAATAATGTAATTAAATGTTTATTTTGCTTCTGGTTTTTTAAAATATAAAACATTTTGTTTATTTTCTTAATTTGACACAATAATTTTTTATCTCAATGAATGCTAATATTTTATTTTGGTTTATATCTTGAATATGTACTCACAATTTTTTAAATAATTACTTTTTTATTTTTTTAAAAAGTCAGGGTGTAAAATTAATCATTTTAAATATTGCAAGTTAAAAAGCGTGCAATAGTAATAGTAAATTTTTCAATAGGGATTTTATGCAAAACTTTTTAAACCTTTTACAAAATTGTTGATGACTTCACTTGTGCTATTAATTTTCACTTTTTAATAAAAATTAAACTCTTCTGTTAAAAAAGAAAAGTCAAGTTTTAAGAGATAGAGAACAGATAGTAAAACACATAAGTATAACCCCCTTCCCCCATACCTGCATATGTACTTTATGGAAGACCCCTTTTGTTGCTGAATATTTGGAAAGTTAGTTTTACAAAAGTTTTATAAAAATTTAGTTTTTTATTTTTCTTGAATTTATTATTTGTAAATAATGAAAATAACTATGTAGTTAAAATTTTTGTAACAATGGTGGTCAGTTTTTAAAACGTTAATTACTTCATTAAAATACCATAAAACAAACCTTAATTACTTTATTAAAATACTGGTTAAAATATCTTTAGAATTATTTAAATATTACCAAACAAAAAAAAAATTTAATTTAATGTAAAGAGCCTTACATAAAAGTCGTTCTTAACATACATGAAATGCAATTCAAATGCTAATAAATCAGATGAAAAAAAGAAAATGTTTTCTTTTAAAAAATTAAAAAGATTTTTCTCTAAATTGGTAAATTGTTTGCCCAGACCAAAACCCTCAATCTACATATGTACTTTTCCTGCATGTTTTATTTATTTAAGTCAGTTAATGTATGTAGACTCCCTGCATGTTCTACCAATTTAGTCAGATAATGTATGCACACTCCTGTCAATAAAAAGTGACTTTTTACTAAAATCTCTTTTGCTTTATATATATAGACACACACACACACACATCTAAACAGGTGTAAATTAACATAATGTAATACCTTTCCATGCATAAGTACATTACAGTTTGCATTTTTCTGCAAAAGCAAAAGAGTGCGATCATAACTCTTTGATGATACTGATAGGTGTAAAGGAGTTGAACCATTTAACTGCTGTGAATTAACATTACAATTTCTTGTAAGAAGAAATCGCAAAGGCCCTAATTAGATAAAATAAAACTTATATGTTAACAAAAAAAATCATAAATAAAACTATATAACATGTGTATACATATGTGACAATAGTGCGACAAATGTAACAACTGACATGTATACAAATGAGATAAAATATGTTAATAAACAAAGTTCAGAATTTTTTTTCTTTCTGTGTAATCAAAAAATAAACAACATATTGTATATGATCACAAGACTTCCCAAAATATTTTTTTGCATCACCATAATATGTTATATATATATATATATATATATATATATATATATATATATATATATATATATATATATATATATATATATATATATATATATATATATATATATATATATATATAATATATATATATATATATATATATATATATATATATATATATATATATATATATATATATATATATATATATATATATATATATATATATATATATATATATATATATATATATATATATATATATTAGAGTGGGTCATAAAATTTTTTTTTAGAGTTGCTAACCTGGCTATGGTCTAGAAAGTTGTTTTTTTATGTACTCATTTAGGAAAGTATTTACTTTTATGGATTGAACAATGTCTTCCATCCGCAACTATAATTACATAAATTAGCAGGCCATATTACTATTCAAATTTTTTTTTTTTCAAAATTAAGTGATGTAGGTACTCAAATAAAGCAAAATTTTATGAAAATTTCAAAAATGATAATTTTTTCACATAAAAATTATTATTTTAGATTTAATTGCATAATAACTATAGTTTTTTTAATAAAAGTGAAAAAGGTGCATTTTTACATGTTTTTTAGCAACAATTTTTTTCGGCAATATGATTTTTATAAAACGATTATTATTTTCTAATTTTTTATAAAATTTCGCTACTTTTGAGTATCAGGTTGATCTACTTTTGAAAAACTTTTTTTCTCCAAAATATTAAGGTACCAGTAATTTTCCCAATAAAGTTGCGCCCTTTAAATCTATCACAATCATTCTCATATTTGATAGTATCAATATTAATAACTATTAGCAATGTTTAGAGCCTGTAACAAGAGAAAAAAATTTTATGACCCACCCTAATATATATATATATATATATATATATATATATATATATATATATATATATATATATATATATATATATATATATATATATATATATATATATATATATATAATGTTAATTACCTCACCAAGGCTAAGTAGGCCACTACAATCAGGTCAATCAAGGTCACCACAAGGAAGCTACTTTAATTGTTGTTACAACCCTCTCTCAACTATATAACTCTGAAACACAAACCTAGACAAACAAGGTTGCAATGCGGAGAAACAAGTTGAGCGTGGCACTACCAGGGACATGGTGGAGATTTCAGGACTTCTTTCTTATGAGACAAGTGTTCTACCACTACACCACTACTGCATTACAGATATAAAGATTACATGAAAAATTACATCATAGTGATGGAATTTGATGTTTCATGTCTACTGGCAATCATCAGCCATATTTATTCTTTAAATCAAGCCATATTTATTCTTTAAATCAAAAACCATTAAATAATACAAAATACAAAAAACAAAAACAAAGCAATAGAACGCGTTTTGACAACAAAACAAATTTAAGTAGAAAATTAGTTAATCACCCAAAATGATTAATTTTGCTTAGCAGCATCTAACTATTGACCGTAACCATAAATCATAAATCTATCACACAAGGAGTCATTACTATTTAATGATGTTCAAGTTTGGAATAAAAAATCAAGTGAATTATTTAATTTTCAATGGGAGCATTTGAGGATGAAGAAGTACAAGAACTTGTAGGAATTAATCTTTTATTTCAAATTGAACAGTTTTATCAAAAAATGATTTCGGATTATATCACAATCATAGTTGAGCAATTTAAAAAAAAATGAATGGTCCCTAAATGGAAAAAAACAAAAACTATTTTGTTGATATATTTAAAAGAAATGATCTCACTAAACCAATACAACATGAAAGTTATAAACTACCTTGCATCAAATATCAGCAACTATACTTTTTAACTGTATTCTAAATCTGGAAATTCTTTAAACTATATTTACACTGATTCAAACCACCAATATTTTACAACAGCTTCTGTGTTCAGTTGAGTTAAAACTGTCTGAAAATTTATAGAGTAAAAAAATTTTTTCAAAGATCTATTCCTACGTACAACAACGCACTGTTATAGTATGGATTTAATTATAGGAAAAAGCTTTTTAACTTTAATTAATAAATGCTTCCCGAGAAATCACAAACTCCATAAGAATTATTTCCATAAAGCAAAAACACGATAAGTTACAGCTGTTTGCCAAATATATAACAATTGTGTGCATTTAAATACATTTTAAATGCACACAATTGTTTAATTATAAACAGCAACAAAATTTCACTTGAAACCAACTGCAACTGCTTCAATTATAATCTTTGCTCTTCATCAAACCAATGCTTAACAAAAAAACATCGTATACCAAGCTAATGTATACAATGTATAGCTTGGCATATAAACAATTATTTAATATATTATCTAACATACAAAATATAGTTGCTATGTTTTGTTTTTTATTAAGTTAATATAGAAGACCAAGAAAAGTTTAAAAACTTGTAAAATTTTTTTTTTCAAACTAATAGATTGCCTGTCAAAACCAAAAAAACTCTTAGTATTTTTTATGTACACTCAATCTCTTGCTACATCGACCACAACTCACTCTTGCATGACTCCTTATTCAACAAAGTTGCATTCTTATATTGTATCTGTCCTTTTATGTGAAAAAACTATTTATTCTGGTTTTTTTAGCACACCAATGCTTGTGAAATTCTCTTTTATACTTTTGGTCTCAGAGGTTTTAAAATACAAATATTTATTAATTTTTACATATATGGAAGGGGGCAAGGTCACATGAAATTATTTTTAAAACACAATAAATAAAAGTTTTTTTTGTTTCTTAATAACAATTAAAAGTTTTATATATAATTTTAGAGCATGAATTGTTTTTTTTGCACCAGGAATGGTTGGCTCTACCCATATAATAGGTTAAATAACTTGGGTGGTTATGTAATTTAAGTGGTTCAGAGGATGGGTGGGGGTTGGGTAGCTATATGATATACATGACTTTTTGAATGTGAATTTAAAATATATTAAATAATTTCATATTTTCATACTCTACTTCATGAAAGAATGTTTAAGGTAAGATAAATAATGTCAAAGGTTAACCCAAGATTTTTAACTGTTTTTAAAAATTGTAAATGATGGTCAGCCCACAACCAGCATATTTACTTGTACATAATAACTATCTTCATAATAACTAAAAGTTAAAATATAGGGTTGACGAAGTTTAAAAGCACAGTTATTTACCCTAAAAAAGGGTTGTTTTAAATTTATATGCTCAAAAAACAGTTGCTTCAGATGATTTTAGCCAACTTGTTGCATGTAAAATCATTTTTAATAATCATTAAAAATGAATTTTAATCATCTTTAATTAACAATTTTTTAGTTCACAAAAACACAATCTTTTTAGTCCATTTAAGCTTCATTTTTCTTCTTATATATTTTAGTCAACAAATATTTATGAATAAAATTTTTTCTATTTTGTTACCACTTTGCTTTGGTGCCTAAAGCAAGTTTTTTGATTCAATTAAAAAACAATTTTTTTAATTCAATTAAAAAACAATTTTTTTAATCCAAATAAAAAGCAAGCAATTAGAAAGCAAGTTTTTTAATCCAATTAAAAAAGAAATTGGAACTCATCAACAGCTAAACATTTGTTTGTACAATGTGCAAGATAAGACAATAATATAAGTTAAAAAAATAATATAAAATAATAGCCTTCAGAAAATATTAGAAAATAATATAAAATATGTTCTTCTAGAACTGTTGGGAATCAATTGTTGCTCTCAATGCAGTAGAGCTTATTTTAAGCACTTATTTTAAATGTGATGCATTAATGAAGTCTTTTCTAATGCTTTTAGAATAAACAGAAGATATCAATTTTTTCAAAAAGTTTAAAAATACTAACAACTTTTGTCATTTTTAAAAATATTTTTTAAAATATATATATTTTTTTTGGCAACTAAACTTTTTTCTTACAACAGACTTACTAATAGCAAGTTCCTTTTTTGTTCTAATAGCAAGTTCATTTTTATTTCTCTTTGTATTGGTTTTAATTATTTTCTGCAAACTTTATGATTGCCCAACATTTGAACCTTTGAAAAATTACTTTTTATATCTTTTATTTTTTTAGCCACAACTTATTGACTTCAAATATTTCTTTTATCATTCTCATAACACTATCTTTTTTAAAAGTCATATTTTTACTTATATGATTTATGTCATTTTTTTTTTGTTTTTGTTGATCTTATCTTTAAATTAGAATTGTCTTTAAATCAATTTTTTTAATAAAAAGTTTTAATAAGATGCATTCATTAAAATTATCAACTTAAAAGATTGTATTAATCATAATTAAAAGAACTTATATAAATAATAAAAAAAAAATTACCCTTTATCTGCTCAAATATAAATAACCTAATTTTAAACAGTGGGACCAACCATTGAAAATATCAAATGACAAAAAATATTCTAAAGGCAGATACAAAAGGGTTTAAAAAAATGTTTTATGCTATTTCTAAAGTATTTGCATGTGACCCTGCTATATGTAAACAAATCAAAAATTTGTATTTTTAGATCTCTTAGACCAACTATAGAAGAAATTTTAGTAACCTTTTTTTTTCTATATTTGGAAAATGTGTATCAAATGGAACCAGAAACTTCATTATAACATTTAAAAAAATATATACATATATATGGTATAGATGTGCCAGGTATTCGGTTTGGACCTGGTATTCTAGCAGTTTTTCAAGTCCAACCCGCCACATCTATATATTGAGTACTCTAGAAAACCGTCAAAATAATCCAAACCAGGCACCTATAACATATATGTTCAGGGTATTCAAGACTTTCAGAATAGAGAGATGATGAATAATTGAAATATAAAATGTCAGGTTTGCCAGGTACCCGGAAGATAAAAGTACTAGCTTATATTTTTCTGCAAAAGCCCGCAGTTATTACTAACTTCACTGCATATATGAAATCTTATTTAATGGGCTTGCAGATTTAAGGTTTTTACCACATTAAAACAGTTACAAGTTCTTGAAAAAAATGATTATTCTAAGTTTCCTATAATATAACTCACCATCATCAGCGTTCATACAAGCCAGGTGCAAGGGTGTTTCTCCAAGATTATTTTTAACATCAATGTTTGCTCTTTTTAATGATAACAACCACAAGGAATCAACAGATGAGTTAATTACTGCAATGTGGGATGGTCTAAAAAATTGATTATTCATTATCATATAATAAAAAATATAATTAAAATAACAAGTAAAAAAAAAAAGGAAAAAAATACTAAAGTAAACAATAGAAAAAATGTTTGCTGTTATTTTAGTGAACATAACTTGTACTGAGTGACAAGATGTACAACTTATTTAAAAAGCGTGTTAAAAAAATAAAAAGACCCAATCAGAACTTGTATGCATTTATGCTCTTTATTATTGTGTACAATTACAAGTTTAGTATAATTTAGATGTGCGCCTTTTGCAAAACTTTTTATAAAAAATAGGCAAACAAAATCTATTGCCAAATAAAGTTAAAAAAAAAAGCTATATATAAATTGTTTGAAAAAAATGCATGCTAGTTTAAATAAAAGCAAATTTAATAAATAGCAAAAAAATAAATAAAATAAAAAATCTTTCTTTAAATAATTTCTGTTGTTTATTATCTTACAAATGAACACCAGAAATAATTTAGTCACCTAGTCACATTATATAAAACAAGTGATATTTTGATTTATTTTAAGTAACCATGGTAGTATTTGAAAAAAGAGATGCAACCTTAGGGCTATAGAATAAAAGCTAAAATTTACATTCTTTTTTTAGATCTTGCCTAAAAGAGAGAAGACCTCATTAGAGGAACCAACTTGAGCTAGTTCTATTTAATAAACTTCTTCTCTCCTTTTTAGGCAAAAAGAGAGCCTATGACAACAGTATTCGATACAATGACAAATAAGAAATTTACATAGGTAGAGAATGAAATCAAGAGTGAGAAAATGGTGAGCACAATAAGAGAGGCAACCTTAGCAGTTGATACCTTTGCATTGGATTGCATAGACCATTTCCAAAAGAGGTCAGTAGCGAATGATAATCCAAGTAGACAGTAGACAGTAGAGGACTAAGTAAGATTGTTACTATTCATCATTACAGAAATTTTTGTTTGGGCGTTAATTCGTTAAACACTGAAAACCCTAAGTTGTCACAGAGAAGAGATCAGATTCAAGATTGTCTAAACAATCAAAAAGTAATGAACTTTTTGTCAAGACTGGAGTGTTGTGTCATCAGCAAATAGAATCATTGTAGAGGTAAGATTATCAGAAATAGGATCAATATAGATCAGAAACAACACAGGACCAAAGATTAAATCTTGCAGCACCTTAGAAGTTATTGGAAATAAAGGAGGGTGATGACCATTAAGGACAACTTTAATACTGCAATAAGAAAAGAATGATTCAATAATTTTATAAAATTTAACAGATACACCTTATAAAGTAAATAGGTAACAGGTAACAGGAATCTCTTTTTTTTGTTATATCATTTGTTTATAAAATTTAAACAAATAATATAACAGTACATTATACTCCGAACTTCAATAAAAAATTTTTAAAGAAACAATATGCATATGAAAAGACTTGCTATTTGGCTGTGAAAGACAATTTTACTAAACTGCCTCTTAGTGTGAATGCAAGTATTCACACAGCTTAAAGATGCTTTGGATTTTATTTTTTGATTGTACTTTGCTGCATAAAAGCCAAAAAAAAAAAAAAATCACAAAAAAATGTTTTCATATAAAACTTTGCACAAAACACCAAATGAAGCATCATGTCTCTCAAGCGAAGTTAAGGAGCTTGCACATGAGTCAATGTTTGCTAGTCAACAAACTCATGCTTTAATCCCTAACACTTCACACCTTCTGTTTAAATTATGATTTGCAATGCATTCACTGCTGAATATCTTGGTGGTTTACACCTTTTGAAAGGGCAACTTGCCATCAAGCAAATATTGTCAAGATATATATCCAAGAAAATCCAATTAGAATTTTTGATTTTGGCCTGGCAATTTACCAGATTTAAACTCCATAAAAAAAATGTTAGGTAAAATTGAAAGCAAAAGTTTGTAACCCAAACCTAACGTCACTAGTAGATCTGAGACATTCCATAATGAAAGTAAGGTGTCATAAAATAACACCCAAGTATTTTAAATCTTTTGTTGCCTTAATGTTAGGAATAAAAGAAGCTGTTCAAAAAGTTAAAATTCACATACAAAAAACTGAAACATAATTTATACAGTGTCTTCTTTATTCTTTCATGTTTTTTTATGTTGTTTTTTAAATTAAAATGTTTTATAGCAATAAATATGTACAAATACAGTTTATTGCTGTAAATATTGGGTTTGTCATAATTGTATACAAACATAAATATGTATACACTTATATATCTATATTTATATAGCATATAATTTGGTATGCAACAGTTATAACTAACATAATATATATATATATATATATATATATATATATATATATATATATATATATATATATATATATATATATATATATATATATATATATATATATATATATATATATATATATATATACATATATATTAGAGTGCCTCTAAAAACAACTTTTTTTGAAATTGTCTGCTGCCACCCCCTAAATGTGTTCTATGTAATAAATTAATACTAAATCTAAAAAGATTTTGAATAAAAAAATTTTTTAGGGGTCACTCAAGACCCTTAAACATCAAATGGGTCCCTAATATTTTGAAAAAAAAAAGTTCTTCAAAAGTATATCATGTTGGGTTTCAAAAAAAATGAAATTTTATAAAAAATTTTAAAATAATAAAAATAATTATTATGGTATTTACAGTATCATAATTTGTAAAAAATATTTTTTATTGGTTTGTAACAATTTTATTTATATGTTAATATTTCTCTGTAATGTCTTCAAACTTTGATTTTATACTCCAGAGTTTTAATTTTTTGTAATAATTGTAATTTTATATTTTGAAAATGCAGTAGGTAAACTACGAGACATGCCAAGATCAAAAATATGTTTTTCTTAAAAATATTTTCACATTTATTTAATCGCACTAATGATTTGCAGTTATAGTTATTGTAACATTTCACTGATTCAAGGTTTGTAATTGTTTCATTTTTGGTATCCAAAGACTTTAATGAGTTTTTTAAAGTGTTTAAAATTGAATACCAGCGCACAAAAAAGCAATGCCCAAATGGTCATTTTTAGGCTGGCATGCACAATTTAAAAAATTCATCTTATTTGCTAATTAATTAAAATAAAAACAGCAATACTAATGCTTTGAATAAATTCTTTATAAATAATTTTAAAAATAATAATTTTAAAATAAAACTGGCAAAAAAAACGTTTTGTTAAAATTCCTGATAAAATAATTAAATAAAAAACAGTAAAAAAAAAAGTTTTATATAAATATTAAATAAAACAATAAAAATAAAAATGAAAAGCCAAACATTTTATTTACACTCTAAATAAAATATTTCAAATAAAAACTTTATTTAGTTCTAAAGTAATTAAAAAAAAAAAAAAAAAAGCAAAAAAAAAAAAACTTTTTTAAAATTATTTTAGATGCCCCATAAGTCCTTACAGTCTTATCACAGAGCACTGCGGAAAAGTATTTAAAAGAAAGTTCACACCTCCTTTTTTACCGATGTTATTAAACTTGCCCAGAGGTGGCGTTGAACCACGGATCTCTACTTTCTGAGGCAAACGAAAACAGCAAAACAAAAGTTTTATTTTATTTTATTTTTCTTCACCTCCTCAAGGCCAGGAAGGCCACTACAGACGAGGAGGCTACTTATTTTGTGGCTATAACCCTCTCTCAACTCTATAACTCCGAAACACAAACCTTGACGAACAAGGCCGCTGCGTGGAGAAACGAGTTGAGCGCGGTACTACCAGGGACGTAGTGGGGATTGAATTCAGAACCACTCGTTTATGAAGCGAGCGCTCTACCACTACGCCACTACCGCATTTATTATTTAAATTCTAAATAAAATAATTCACACATAAAACTGTTTTCATGATTTTTCATAAAAGTATTTAAACAAAAAAAAAATTGTTGCAGTTAAAAATAAACTCTTAAATTTTTTAAGCGCTTTTTTTTTGAGCTTGACAGAGTTTTTGTGAGCATGCTGGGTGAGCTTGAAGAGGCTTGAGAGAGAAAGCGCTGACCAAATAGAAGACTGTATTAGCATTTAAAACATTTTTTCTTCTTATTTTTTTTGGTTATACTCACATTCATTAAACCAGCTGGCATATCTTTTTCCAACAACACTTCACTTTTTTTTCAATATTTCAGCATCAATTTTCAGCAACAGTATTTAGCATTAAATGCTATTAAAATTTTATTCAATAAAACTTCTGTTTGCAATATTGCTCTTTTTTTAATTAAACAAAAAAATTGCATTTTAATCAGTAAAAACTGCATTCTCAGTAAATTTTTTTTATCAAAAATAGTAATTTCTTCATAATTGTTTAAAATTAAATTACCTCCAATGAGGAAAAGTAATTAAAAATAGATTTATGAGCAAAAAAAAAAATGAATTAAAAAACTTTAAACAAAACAATTAAAAAAATTGATTTATGGTTTAAAAAAGTTTTTGATTCAACTTTTTATAAAAAAGCAATTGTAATCATGATGGTTGTAACATACTTTGTAGTATCTCGATAAAACATAATCTTTTAAAAAAATATTAAAAAAATGAAGAAATTTATACTTTCACTATAACTTGATTAAGTTAAAGTAAAAAGTTGTAACTTGTTTTCAAAAATATAATCTTTTTATTGACCTAGCTGGAGTGCATTAAGATATATACAAGAAAATAAAATGCAGAATGATTAGTTTTTGTCAATAAAAGAAACTTAAATTATTTAAAAATATAACTTTACTTTTAAGTATGTACTGTAAAACCTTTAAAAAACCTTATAAGTACGAAATATAGTAAATATATATATATACATACACACACAAAACTGAGTATAATTACCCGTAAATTTAAGGAAACGTAAAATTCCATAAATAAATGCATACGTGTTTCCAGCTTGATCTTGCCTATCACAATCTGCTCCTGCATTGAGTAAAATCTCTGTGAATTTGGATGTATTTCTTATTTCGCAAGCTAAAAATAGGGCTGACCTTCCTTTGTTATCTAACTGATCAATTTTAATAGAAAGATGCTGAGTAAGCAGCTCCAAACATTCAAGCTTTTGAAATTTACATGCAAGATGCAAACCTTTATAGCAAATTTGTAAAAAAAAAAAAACGAAACAAAAAAACAAAACAAAAAAACAATAAAAGGAAAACTTTTTAAATACATAGTTAATATTAAATATATAGTTAATATTAAAGAATTGTATTAGGAATAAAAATAATAATGAAAACAATAATAGATTAAATTAACAATAGTAATAAAAACAATAATATTATAAACAATATTATTCAACGTTATAAACAATACATAATATTATAAACAAAAATATTTTATTAGATTTAAATTTTAAAAATACTTTGACATGAATCATGTCACATGATGTCCATTCATTTCATATTCTTTTTATAAGATTTAATAGCAAACTATACACATGTACAACAAACTATACACATGTACAACAAAAACTATACACATGTACAACAAAAACTATACACATGTACAACAAAAACTATACACATGTACAACAAACTATACACATGTACAACAAAAAGTCTTCATAAGATCAAAATTTAATTATTGTGTTCTTAGTTTTATTATTTCAAAGTTAAGCCTTCAAAAGCATTAAATTAATTAAAAAATATAATTAATTAAATAAGAACTTACTACAAAAAAATCAATTTTGTGTGTCGATTTGAAGTTGAAACTTGTTTGTTAATTTTACTGTCATAACTATGAAACACTGTATAAAAAACTGTATTTACTTACAACTAAGTGAACTTTCGCTTGCTGTAACATTGGGATCAACATTTTCAATCAGAAGTATTTTAAGAGCTTGAATATTTCCTTAAAAGCAATATGAATTATCTATCTGTATCTATATTCAATAAGAATTATTTAAAATATTAAGTATTTCTTGAAAACATGATACCATAATTAAAAGTAATATTCAAAAAAAAAAAAAAAAAAAAAAAAAACTTTTAGCTGAAAAGTCATTCATTTTGTTATTATAAAACTTAATATCTCTTACCAGTACAAACTGCCCAATGTATTGGTTGGCAACCTTGTTCATCAATAACACTCAAATCAGCATTAACTTTAACCAATTGTTTTAAATAATTAACTTTTGCTTCACTAACACCTTCTGGTGGAGCATTTACAGCATAATGGATAGGGTAAACACCATATTGATCAGGAATGTTTACAGATAATCCAACACTAACTAGTTCCATCAAACAAAGAGTTGATGCATATTCTTAAAAAATAAACAAAACACATTTTTGCTTTATCATAAAACTTATTAGAAAATTAAACACTTTGCTTCATCATAAAACTTATCAAAAAAAAAAAAAAAAAAATTTCAAATGAATTTATAAATATATAAGCAAAATTATTCGAACATTGTTCAAATCATTAACAGAATTATAAACATTTGAGAAAAATTTTAATGAATAAAACTTCAATATTTAATAATATTTGGTTGATTTTAGGATTAAATTTTAACTTTACTTTTTATTTATAATACTTGAATTAACTGGTGTTTAAACAAACAAATTAAATTATGTAAATTTTGATTGTCACTATTTTTGCAGTTTTTTTATTGTTTTACTTTTTTTTATAACTTATTGTTTTTTTTTATAACTTGTTTTTTTTTTATAACTTGTTTTTTTTTTATAACTTGTTTTTTTTATAACTTATTGTTTTTATAACTTTTTTTTTATAACTTATTGTTTTGCTTTTCCATAAACTTTCTCAATATGATAACTTGAAATTTTCATTAAAACAATGTTCACAGCTTTTACTGAGAATGATAAAATTAAGATTAGTGAAATATTCAACTAAATTTTTAACAAAAATAATATTTAACAAAAAATTTTCAAATCATCTAAATTTAACAATTTAGAACTTAAATTAAAGTTAAAATAAAACCTGTGGCATAATGAATCAAAGTGTGCTTTTCGTTATCTAACACTGATGCATTTGCCCCATGATCTAGTAAAGCTCGAACTATAACTTGATTGTTGAATATGATGGCAGAATGAATAGGATAACAATGATTAAAGTCACATTTATTTAATAGCTTCTTCTCATACTTCAACAAAAGGTCAACACATTGCTTGTCACTATTGAAGCATGTCAAATGAAGAGCAGTTTTACCTGCATTACAACAAATCATTGCATCAACCTTTTTGAAAAAAAAAATTGCATAGTGTTTTTTAAAAAGTTAAGGAGAGTAGTGTTATAACAATATTGAAATGTTTTTATCCAATAAAGACTTGAAATTTCATACCTGACTATCCAATAGTATTTTAACATTTTTAACCAAACTGTGATAAACTGCATGCATAAGTGGAGTTTTTCCATCTTTATCTTTTGATTGCAGTTCACTCACTGTACAATGAGATGCCAGAAGTTTCAAAGAAGCACTATTTTGCTGATTTGCAGCCAAATGAATCATATTATACTGATTTGTACCAAGTGGAAACAAGTTTACTTTATGCTAGTTTAAAAAATTAAAAATCTTAGAATGTTAGCATATAAACAGCTTGCCAAAAATCTATTAAAACATCAATGTTTTATAACAACTTTACTGAAAATATAATAAATAACCTATCAAGTAAAATGGAGTCAAATAAAATAAATAAGAGTTTCAATTAAATTTTTTTTTACAGGAAAAAGAATTAAAGAATTTTCTTTTTTTAAGTTGTTGAATTTAAAGCTGCATTTAAATATATAAAAATTTTAATCGAATAAAAACTTAATTTAATTTTAAAAAAATTATTTGATTCTTCTCCCAAATATGTAAATTAATGGATAACTTAAAGACCACTTTAACAAAAAAAAACAACAACCAGTAATAATAATAAAAAACAACCTTAAAACCAACTCAATAACTAATACTAATTTAAAAAACAACCAAAGATTAAAACAAACAAAAAAAAGATAATTTTTGCGATGTTACGTAGTTTCTGGAGGTCAGAGTTTTTATTAGTCAGTTGACTAATGAAAAGTTTTACATATTGCTTTGACATGATTGTTTTACAAAGCCAAACTTTACAATTTTACACTGGTAGTATTTACATTTTTGAGTTGTTGACGCTTCACTAAAAAAACTTTGTCATTTTTTACACTTGACATTGGTTTGCTGCCATTGCTGTTGCCAGAGTAACAATAGTTTGATTTGTTTGGTGCTCATCATCAAGTTAAGCTTTTTTTTTTTTTAGCTGGCCATGCTGCATTTGTCTCATTAGGTTTATTGAGATACTCCCCGTAGTATTGGGACCAATACATTTATTATGGGACCAATACATTTTTATCTTAAAGTGTCAATATATTGGGTTTGAAACATTACTTGCAAAGCTGCTACAAAAAAAATTGAGCAAATTGACCTTCTTTTTGAAAAGCCTCAGTTACTAAAATATTAAAAACTGGCTATGGAGTTAACTTTGAAGCTGATGCTGTATGATATATGCTGATGCTATATGTTATTGGCATTATTAGCATGCTTTATTCAACCACATAGTTTATGAACTTTATTTTTAATTCAAATTTTTTACCAGAGATAGCCAATTTATTTTTGAAAAAAGATTCTTGAACTAGATTAAAAGTTGTAGAAGGTTAAATTTTAAAAGTTATACAAGGTTACATTTTAAGTTCACTAATAACAAACTTTTTATGTTTTATGCCCATTAAAAAAAAAAAAAAAAAAATATTTGGTCAGAAATCAAAAAAAAAAAAAAATTTTGTATTAATAATTTATCTCATCTTTTTCACAAAAAGATTCTCTACAACATGATCAAAAAATGTTTAAAATGTTTAAAAAACATTTATTTAATAATTAAGAGAAAAATAATTCTGTCATAACTAGTTCCTCTAAACTTGTCCTCTATTTGATTCTATTCTTTTTTACTTTATACTTTTAGATTAAATACAATTAAATTAATTTGATTATAATAACCTTAATACAAAAAATCTTTGAGAAAATCTTTATTAAATTAAAAATATGAAATACGTAAAAATTAAACTTACGCAGTTTTCAAAGCATTAGAATTTAAACAACTACATCTATTAAAATTTTCTAATCTCTTAATGTTGTCTTTATACTGTTTTCATTAAGATATTAATGAAATTAATGCCTAATACTGTATCTCTATTCACTCTATTAACTCATTGTTTATGAATGCTGTTAATGCGATAGTGGTGTAATGTTAGAGGGCTGGCTTCATAAGCGAGAAATTCGGAATTCGAGCCCCACCACGTCCCTGGTAGTACTTCATTCAACTTGTTTCTCCGCGCAGCTGACTTATTCATCAAGATTCATGTTTCAGAGTTAAAGAGTTGAGAGAGGGTTGCACCACAATAAATTAGCCTCCTAGATCCTAGTGGCCATTCTGGTTATGGGGAGGTGAATTACATTAATATATATATATATATATATATATATATATATATATATATATATATATATATATATATATATATATATATATATATATATATATTTTAGAAAAGTTCCAAAAATAAATTTTTAATATAGTTGGACTTCCTCTAGTTGTCAAGCAATTTCCAATTGAAGACTTTCTTCACAATTGAAGACTTTCCTCACAATTGAAGACTTTCTTCACAATTAAAGACTTTCTTCACAATTCAAGACTTTCTTCACAATTGAAGACTTTATCACAATTAAAGACTTTCTTCACAATTGAAGACTTTATCACTTTCTTCTACAGATAAACATTAATCTTCTACAGATAAACATGATCACTGCTTGTCAACCAAAATTCAACCTTACACAACTCATCATCATTCAGCAAAGTCACATCATTTTACTGTAAATGCTAGTAGCATTAGTATAACTTTAACATTAAGTATTCAAAAAACTTTTATTCATTTAGTTTTTATCCTTTAAACAATTTCAGCTTTCAGAAATCTTTTCCACCTGTATGCATTTCTAAACTAGTTTTTTAATTTTTTCTTGCTCTTCAACTTTTATTGTTTAAAAATTTGAACTTTAGAGTGAACTAGATTGCAGATTGCACAAGAGTGAACAGATTGCAGTCATTATCAGAAAAACATTCTTTAGAAGTACAGAGGATAGTAAACCATGTTACATATAAAATAATCATTTTTTAATACAATATCAGACTACATTAATTGACATGAATTATTTGCTACCATTATTAATTGAATTATTTCTAAATAAAATTTTGTTATTTACTACTTACACACTAGTGCAAATTATTATTAACCACTAACACAGTAGATAAAAGAATTGATTAGCGTGCTGTGTTATAGACAATTAATTTTAGGTTCAAATTGACAGGGATTTCTCCATCGTATAAGCTTTATTTCACTGAGGCAGTTTTAATTTGTTGACATCAAACTTACAAATGCCTATATATACACCATAGTACAGTTATTTACATATGATGCAAACAGTCTTTTGTTCCTCCTATCATAAAAGTATTATTGATTATTAGTATTAAGTATTAAGATTAAAGATTAACTCTTCTGGATATTCATCTCTTTAATGTCTAGTTAATGTCACCTGCATACGATCATAGTTTTGCAAAAACAACTATATTTATTATTAATAAAAACACTATATTATTTTTTATCTATCTCTTTATTTTAACTTTAATTATTTTCTATTTATAAATTATTTATGAGCGGTGAAAAAAATAAAATAAAAAACTTACTTTAAGTAACAGGTTTAAAAACTCTGTCTGATTGTTTTCTATAACATGAGCAACTAAACTCTTGCCATTATTTGTATCACTGTTCATGTCAGCACCTGCAACCAAAAGTAACTGAAATATTTCTAGATCATTTTTAAGCAAAGCATGGCATAGTGGTGTTGTATTTGAAGAATCAGCACAATTTAAATACTAAAATAAAAAATTGTTTAACTAACTTAACGGTAAATTTAAATGAACTTGATAACAAACTTTTAATTACAATTAAATATTAGAGAGGAACTTTTTAATAAAAGGGTGCAACTATTATGAGTGTAACTTTTTTTATTAACATAACTTAACAAGGAACATTAAACACTGTATTTTATTATATTTTATTGACTTGGTGTAATAGTAACACAGAAATAATAATAGCAAAATAATGGCAACAGCAAATTATATAACTCAGTATTATTAAACTAATTTATAAAATTTGGAAATCACTAGGGTCATAATCTCAAATCTTGAAATATAAAAAGTAACAGAATTTTGATTATTATTCTACTAAAAAACTAATAGTAAAATAAATCTTTAGTTTCCAGATCCCCAAAATTATTTATTCATTCTTCCAAAAATATTAATACAAATTTTTGCCAGGCAACAAAGTTTTGCAGGTGAAAAGAAAAAAGCAATGAAAGGGGAAATTTAAATTTTATAAGATATGTATATATTAAACAAAAGTAATTATAATTATACAAATGAATACCTGCTTTTGTGACTCAAAACCAAGAACCAACTTTACAAACTTAACAAGTTTTCTAGAAACAGCCAAATGCAATGGAGACATATCAAAATTATTCTTTGATTCTACAGAATATCCTTTTGCACCTTGTTTTAATAAATACCAACATATTTCATATTTTTCATTTATTATTGACCAATGTAGAGCAGTTCGTCCTTGCTTATCTTTAGCATCAAGAGGAATGCCTGTTTGTGACAATATTTTTAAACATTCCAGGTGGTCCCCTTCATCTACTTTTTCAGCAGAGCCTTGGATGCAATTTATTAGTATTGGCACACCTTCTGCATCATGAGCATTTAAAGCTAACCATCTTTTCTCTTTTTTGATTTTTTCTGAGTTCACAACATCTTTCAAGTCACGATAATTGCCTTGATATGATGATTGAAATAAGAATATTGCAAGATTGATTTCAGATTTATGATGGCGAGATTTTTTTTCATTACTCATTTTTTACATCTTTCTATTTTATAAATTCAACACTAAAATAAAAAATGTATACCCTAAAGCCCTTGCAGAAGACTATTTTAGAATGATGTCATTAATGATGTTACAAAAATATTTGTGATAAGATATATATACATATATATATATATATATATATATATATATATATATATATATATATATATATATATATATATATATATATATATATATATATATATATATATATATATATATATATATATATATATATATATATATAAATTACAGATATTTTGAAACTTGAAAAAAAAAAATTTCAATTTACGAAACAATATTATAATAACTTGCAAAATTTCAAATTTAAATTCGAATAACGAGTCAAATAATTGTGTCAAAGAGCATCAAATAGAAATGAAAAAACTATTGGACTTGTCAAATAAAAAAAATTTTCATTCAATAACCTTAAAATATGTAAAATTTGTAAAAAATAAAAAATTTGTCATTCAACAACCTTAAAATAGATAAATTTGTGGGTGTTTCTGAACTTTACATTTTAATTATTTGTTAAAAACTTCATTAGCTTAACTAATATAAAATATTTAAATTCATTTTTATTTGTATGAGTTTCTAGTAGTTCCTAATAAAAGTTATATATATATATATATATATATATATATATATATATATATATATATATATATATATATATATATATATATATATATATATATATATATATATATATATAAATAAGTAAATGCTCATGTTATTGAAAAATTATAGTATAAATAAAGGCATAAGTAAGAATTTAATAAACCAATGACAGAACTACAAGAAACCACTAAAATTATTTTAGGGCATTAAGTCTTTTTAGATTTGATTTTATCATTGCTAGATTTAACATCAGTATCTTTTTTTGATTTTCCTTTTGTTTCTTCTTTTTCTTTTTCTTGTTCTTTATTCTGCAGTTTGTTGTTAATAAGATTATGAAGCGCAATAACAGAACGTATCACTGAAGCTAAGTAGATAACAACCATTTGATCATTGGTTTTAACAGTTGCTGATTTAATAAAATTTCCTACATTTAAATTAGGAAGTAAATTAAAAATATCTTGTAGTTGATACATGATTGTATGATTCGGAGGTAGCTTTCCGCTAATGACTTGTTCTAAATATAAAAAGATATCTTGCAAATGTGCGTGTAGACCCTTCAATGAGTTTAATTGATTAGTAACTTGTTGAGATAAAGTTCCAACAGTCATATTTCGAATATCTCTGAAAAAGAAAGAAAAAAATTAACTTTGAACAAAAATCTTTCAAATAGTAACAGAAAAAATAGAATTCAAAAAACCTTAATAAGTGCTCCACTCCAACTTCCTCTGCTTCTTCTGCTCCTATTTCACTTGGAATATGTTCAAAAGTTTTAGATGTTGGTGTCCCATCCTTGATTAAAGATAATAGAGTAGTACAGAAAAAATAAAAATGAAAAAAAAGAAAAAAAAAACAACTAATTATAAATAAATTAACAAATATTTTGTATTATTATTACATTACTATTCTATTTAAAATGTTAAAATTTGTATTTTAAACATATATTACATGCCAAATGAGGTTAATACACTGAATTTAGAACACTTAATATTATTTAAACTACATCCATTTAGTTAAATCAGCTGCATTCAAAAAAAGCAAAGTCAACATTAATTCAGAACTGTAAAAAAAAAACTGGGAATGTAAATTTTTATACTACAAATATAACTTATAATTTACATTATAAATAGTTTACACAAATAGAACACAATTTTTCATTATCATAGATTATTTTCCTTTAAGTGATAATTTAAATATCATGAAAATTTATTTACAATTATTAATAGGTTCTGTAGAAAATATTCACTAAATATTCAAAAATATAAATATTCAATTTTATTGTTACCTTGAAAATTACATGTTTTTTTATTTCAACAAGTAAGTTAAATAACTTACATCGTGTACTTCTTCAACAGCAATGTATGCTTCAGTTGGTAAACCTAATGCTTTTGGTTTTGCATCAATTATCACTAATACCTAAGATATAAAAACAAGTAAGATAATAATTAAAAAAATCATAACGTTTTTTATAAATATAGAACACATTAATGTCCACATTTTCAATAAAATATGTTTTTATAATTGTATTTTTATGTACATATGTTTGCATATATACATTCATCAGTAAATGAAATTTTACTAATGACATCATACTGAAATAGACACTTGTGGGGACTCAAGTACATATATAGATAAAATATTTGATGTTAGAGATAAAATGTTTGATGTTAGAGATATATGACAAACATTTGACAAAAAAAAAAAAAAAATTGAAATTTATTTATGTTTATTTTTATTTGTATGTTGAAGTTTTTGTTGGTCAAACAATGCGACACAATTTTAATTCACTTTGTTGATGCGTATTATTTATGACAAGCTGTATTTATTTTTAATTTGTTATATGGTTTTGCTAATTTTGTATTTAAGTTGAAATGTATAAATGCTTAAAGTTGAATTTTCTTTACATTAAGGACCTAAAACTATAAACACTTTAGAAACATTTCAGACTTTATAAACATTTTAGACTTTAACAATTAAAGATTTTAAAGAATTGAAAATCTTATTATATTTAATACATAAACAAAATAAAATTAAATAATACAAAAATATTAGGCTTGTAATTAACTCTCATTAACTCTCATTAGTGATTAGATTTAATTTATCTTAAATCAATAAAAATTGTTAACTTAAAATTGATAGTTATATATTGATAGTTATATATTATATATGATAGTTATATAAAAATAGTTAACTTAAAAAAAAACTAAAAAAATAGTTTGACTTTATGTTATTAAACCTCCTTTTTTAACCAAAACTCCATTTTTCATCAGAGCTTGTGATCTATTTCAGATTAACGTTATTTCAAGTCAAGCTATTAATAGAAGCATTAGTTGTTACCATAAAGCTTTGTTGAGTTTTTGTTAAAAAAAGCAATGATTTGATTAAAAATATGTCAAATAAAATACTTTAAAGCATAAAGTATTTTTTTATTTACAAAGTTCAGTAAGTGTTATAAAACAAAAATTGATACACTGAAGTTTTTTTTTAGTTGACCAAGTAATAAAAACAGTTGACCATCAATTCAATGTGTTAGCTGGCCAAATTGACCACCTATCTACTTTTTCATTTTGTGCACTCTGTTTATAATAGCATATTATTCTTTCTTTAGCTAAATAATGCAAAAACTACACACTAATAAAAGCAAACAATATATATATATATATATATATATATATATATATATATATATATATATATATATATATATATATATATATATATATATATATATATATATATATATATATATATATATATATATATATATATACATATATACATATATATATATATATTTAGTTTATATAAGTGTATGGAAAAAAGCCATTTCAAAGTAAAGTAAATGATAATTTGTCAGAAAACTGTTGGATAACACCTATTAACACTTTTTTTAAAACTATAAGCATTTATACTAAAATATTTTTAAATATAAGTATGAATATCAAATTTAGATAAACACTATGATATCACACTGAAATAGCCTGCTGAGGGGCAGCATCAACTATCTTATAGCCTGCTGCTGCAAAGGAGTACTGCTACACTAAATGAGAGTCTAGCATGGGTAGCAATCTTTTTTTTCATAATTCTTAATTTTTTTCTTTTTTTTCTTCCTGAAAAAGCCATATGCTATAAAGATTAGCAAAACTTGCAATTTCAAAAAGCAATTGCTTGAAATTGATTTATATGCCATAGTATATATATATATATATATATATATATATATATATATATATATATATATATATATATATATATATATATATATATATATATATATATGGGTATTACCATTTTTAAATTACGTAACATGCGCAACAACTTTATCAAATATTTGCCTATTTAAAGTGTAAATTAAACTTTTAGCTATTTTATATGAAAGCTGTTAGTCTAAAGAATAAAATAGGCTAAAAAATTATAAACTTATTACTGAAAATGCCACTTAACTTATGTTACATGGAAAACAAGGTAAGAATTGCTTCAACTTTTAGGTCAGATTTCTGCGAATCAGTGAAGGGGTTTGATTAGAAACAAAATGTTGAGAATTCTAAACTAATTAAAAAAATATATGAAAATTTATCAGAGGTAACCGGCTAAGGAAAATAAACTTGTTTTTTTGATACTATATATTTAACTTACATTACATTACCTATGTTACTGTGCAATTATTATCGTGAACTTTTTATATCTATTATTAAGAGTTAGAGTTATGTAACAAAGAATTGCAAAAGTATTGAACTCATTCATTTAAAATAATTAACAAAAATAAAATTTTAAAAACTAGTGGCACTTTTCCTGAGTGATTTTTCATAACACTATAAAATTGAAACAGATTTTCTGCAAGACTAAGAGCAACTTTAAAAAATTACTTAAGTAAGACAACTTTGTTTGTACTTATTAGGTCATTTAAATAAGAAAACCTTTGGTTTGTTGACATTTTTACTTACACTTCTTATGTTTATATGTATTGCCTTATTTTCATTAAGTTGAATGCTGCAGAGTATTTACATTTAAATCTCTTGAAATATTTTTAACGTAAAAACTGCTATAACAGTTAAGAAGGGAGGGGGTTCAGGTATAAGAGATCGTTTGTAACAGGAGGGAAGGGGTTAAGAATTTACAAGTATAGGGTGGCGTGCTTTATGAATGACCCCCTTAATTGCATTTACAAACAATTTTAAAACAAAAATAAAAAAGGTTTTAACTGATTTTTTTTTATATTCGGAGAATAGCAAACTATTTTTTTTTTTTAAATGTTTAAATAAAAATATACAATTCTTATTTTTATTTATTTATGTATATTTATATATCAATCAAAATAAGAATACATAAACAAATAAAAAATTAAATATAAATATTTTTAACATTTTTATTATAAATTCTTCTAATATAAAAAGTTTCACTTAGAACCTTGTCAAACCGACGTGACAAAATAAGAATTATGTAAGGGAGAGCTGGGTTGGTTGTCACACAGGGTTGGTTGTCACAGAGTTTATTTCAGGAAATGTAGATAAGGTTTAGAACTTCAAAATCATACAATGAAAATGTTATATAAAAAAAATATTTTCACAGTAATTTTTAGCTTTTTTTAGCGTGTAGAAAAAAGTTATTTGTTTTTAGAGGTTTATGATATGAAAAAGTTAAATTTCACTTACTTAGAAATTTTCTTTTACCAAACGAAAATTAATTTATTGTGCTTTGAATGTACATTTTAAAAGTTTTTTATTCATTTGAGTAATTTAATCCACAAAAAATTCTCATGAAATTCATACGCTTTTATGTAAATTTATAGGTGTCTTGCAACTGACATAGAAGGGGTTGTTTGTCACAAAATATATGGGGGTGGTTTCACAATTGTCTCACTCCGTGCGTTGCAAACTAAACGCCACTTTTAGATTTTTTTTTTTTTTTTTTCAATCTTTAAATTTTCAATCTTACAATCTTTTATATTTATATTTAATGTATTCTTGTACTTTTTTGTCATAACCTTAACAGGTTCTAATTGGTATGGAGTTGCCGACATTTTAAAATTTTCATTATCAAAAATCAAATGTAAAATAAAATGATATTTCCTTTTTATCCGTATCCAATTCAGCAAATTTAGCAATTTAAAATAAATCAACGTAATCAAAAAATTTTTATAATAAAAAAAGTTAACAATTCATCAAATATCTCTAATTAATTCTGTCAGTTTACGAAATTAATTGTTAATAAATACTTTTTTTCGACGAGAAAACAAAAAATATCATAGTGTAAAAATAGCCAAAGTTAGAAAAAAGTTCCCATTGTTTAAATAAAAATAAGTAAGATTAGTAAAATAAGTAAGATATATTCAGAATATATAATACTGCGCTCTCTTGCACAAAAACAAGAGACCGTATACATAATGTTCTATATAATGTAAAACACTCGTATGAAAATCAAAAGATTTGTAAGTAAAGCTTTAATATTTGTTTTAATTTAAAAAAAAAAAGAATTATAAGATATATAAATCTAAAAATTATTAAGATATCGGTAAAAAAAAAAGTTCCTCCTATGAAATAAAAACCTTTTATTATAATTGCAAAAGTTGTTTTGCTGTATGTTAAAAAATTACTACATCGTACTTTTTGAATTAAAGTAGAAAAACTCAGCTTTGTTTAATTACACTTTTCTTTTGTTAAAAATCTACCATGACGTCAAATGCTAAAACTTTTATGAATTAAACGCGCTTCAAAGGAATCGCCAAAGTCTGTAGATTGCGACGTATAATTTAAAGACTCCAAGTTATTGAAAAAAATGGAGAAGGCAAGCTTCGGCTAAAACAACAATATCAGTTTTTCTCGGTATGCATTCATTATTTTTTTTTAATCAAAAAAACTTGGTTCAAACTTTTTTTTTAACATTATCTTTAATATGAACACAATATGAGTTGGGAGTTAGGGATCCCTTTAAGGTATATTTAAATAAACTTTAATTCAGATAAAACTCAATTTTATTCGGCCAATCGTTATCGTAATAATTTAGATCTTCCTATATTTATGAATGGTAATGTACTAGATGAGTCATCTACCATTCATCTTCTAGGATTAACTCTTACTTCTGATCTTTCTTTTAAACCGTATATCAAATCCATTGCAAAATTAGCATCTGCTAAGGTTGCATCTCTTTATCGAGCTCGACACTTTCTTACTCCAGATTCTATTCTCTATCTCTATAAATCTCAAATCCGTCCCTGTATGGAATACTGTTGCCACATCTGGGGCGGATCTTCTAATGATGCTCTTTCTCTTTTAGACAAGGTGCAAAAACGAATTGTAAACATAGTTGGACCTGCTCTTGCAGCCAATCTCCAACCTTTGTCACATCGTCGTAATGTTGCTTCTCTTTCTCTTTTCTACAAATACTATAATGGGCACTGCTCTAAAGAGCTAGCGTCCCTTGTGCCATCTACTAAAATTCACTCTCGTGTTACTCGCCATTCAATTAAGTCTCATCCTTTTTCTGTGACTGTTCCTAAGTGCTTCAAAAACTCTTATTCTTCTAGTTTTTTTCCTCGAACATCAGTTCTTTGGAATTCGCTTCCTTCATCTTGCTTTCCTGATTCATATAATTTGCAATCTTTTAAGTCATCAGTCAATCGTTATCTTGCTCTACAGATTTAGTCTTTTCTCTTCCAGTAACTTCCAACTCTTATAGTGGTTGCTTGCAGCCTTGTTGGAAGTGAAGATGATAAAAAAAAAAAAAAAAAAAAAAAATGTGTCTACATCAATATTATTTTGATAAAAGTTGACAAAAAAGAGAATAAAATTTGACTACTTTTTTCATTTTGGAATGTGGAATTGTCCGCATATATATATTTTGTCATCCCCAATAAAAAGGCTTAAATTCAAATATAACCATTAATAAATAGACAGCGAGTCTGTAAAATAGATTTTTTATTTGTCCTAATTAATCCACTTTATATGTATTTACTGCCTTACCCTAACTGAATATAATAAAGTGTATGTTTATGGCCTCTAATCACTAAGAAAGCCTCTATTAACTATGTAGTCATCAGTGACATTACATTGAAAGTAAAATACGCCAAGAAAAACATTTAAAACTTCAATATTAATTAAAATATACATACTGAATTTGTATTAAATCTTCTTATAAGCTCATTAATACGAATGTCATTTGAATGCAGCTTTGGTCCAGTGTGATACCATCCTATAATTCTTTCTTTAGCTAAATAATGCAAAAAAACCAAACTAAATTAAAAGCTTTAAATAACTCTGATTTATAATATTATAAATCAAAACAAACACAACTAAGTTTTACTTGTTATTATTACACATAATTGCATTTATCAAATGAACTCCACATCATTTACGGAATATATTTTACACCACTTACTGCAAGCATGCCACATCACTTACTACATAAACTTTACACCACTTACTGCAAGCACACCACATCACTTACTACATAAACATTACACTACTTAGTCCAAGCACACCGCATCACTTACTAAATAAACTTTACACAACTTACTGCAAGCACACTGCATCACTAAATTAACTTTACACCACTTACTGCAAGCACACCGCATCACTTATTACATAAACATTACACCACTTAGTGCAAGCACAACACATCACTTACTACATAAAGTTTACACCACTTACTGCAAAGCACTTGCTACATACACTTCACACTACTTACTGCAAACATTTTTTTATTTTAATTTTTAAGCCAGAACAACTCATAACAAAAGTATTTAAAAAAATTATTCTGCCCAACCTTATAAATATATTAATGAAAGCAACAATATTCAGGAGCTACATATGCAACAGCATTGAACATTTCAATAATGAAGGGATTTATATCTTAATTTTATGATTCATGCAAAAAAAAATTCTATCATTTTAAAGTGACTTAATATATATATTTAAAAATTATCTTATGGATAAATATATATGGTTGAAACAGTTGCATTTGCAGCTGCTAATAGAATTCTAGTACAATAAGAGACTTTTTTTATTATAAAAAAGTTATATTTAAATAGCCGGGGCAAAAAGACAAATTTGGTCTTATTACTAATAACTATTAAACAGATATTCATAAATTAAATTTCAAAAATATTTATATCAAAGTCATGTAAGTAAAAAAATAATTTAACTTAAATCTCAATAAAAAGCAAGCACGGACACTTTTGATTGTAAAACTTGTAATTTTTTGTTTTTAAACAAATTTAACAAATTTAAATTAAGTTGGGAGTAAACAGAAAACAATTGAGAAAACAATTAAGAAAGCAATTGACAGAAGACTTAAAAAACTGTATGTATCAAGAACACATAAAGACTGATGTGTATGTGTCTGTGTGTCAGGAAAACATAAAGACAGAAGAGAACTTCAAAACATCGATGTTGAATTGAAAAAACTAGATAAATTTTTATAGAGCAGAACATTTACATACAAATGCATTTTTGATCTTGTCTAAATAAGATATATATATATATATATATATATATATATATATATATATATATATATATATATATATATATATATATATATATATATATATATATATATATATATATATATATATATATATATATATATACATATATATATACATATATATACATATATATATATATACATATATATATATATATATATATATATATATATATATATATATATATATATATATATATACATATATATATATATATATATATATATATACATATATATATACATATATATAGATACATATATATAGATACATATATACATACACATATATATACATACATACATACATATATATATATATATATATATATATATATATATATATATATATATATATATATATATATATATACATATATATAGATACATATATACATACACATATATATACATACATACATACATATATATATATATATATATATGTATATATATGTATATATATATATAAATATATATATATATATATATATATACATATATATATATATATATATATATATATATATATATATATATATATATATATATATATATATATACATATATATATATATATATATATATATATATAAATATATATATATATAAATATATATATATATATATATATATATATATATATATATATATATATATATATATATATATATATATATATATATATATATATATATATATATATATATATATATATATATATATGGTTTCCATGAAAGGTCAGTAGGGAATGATAATCTAAGAAGATATTGAGAGGTTTCATTATAAATGTAACAATATTGTGATAATTAAAAAGATGTACACACATAATTTAATAAACACATATATAACCAAAAATTCAAAAAAACTGCAAGCATTAATAACAATCAATATGCTATATCTCAGTAATAACAATACAATGTGTAGGTTTTAACAATATATTTTGTTACTAAAGACAAAAAATAAAACAAAACAAAACTCTGTAAGACAAAAAATAGAACAAAAAATTATTTTAATTCAAGTGCTTCAGAAAGAATTTCATTCATAGTCATTTAAAAATGGTTTTGTTTAGTTTTAAATTGATGTTGTGTAAGATAATTATTTATTACAAAGAAAAAAGGCAACCTTAGCAGATACTAACTTAGCAATAGATATATGATTTCTTTAAACAGTGCAAGATTTTTCAAGATGACATTCAACAGTGTGTTGTTAAAATTAAATGTAAACAGTCTCATCATCATAAGCTGCACCTTTTTTCTACTAATTCGAGCATGGTAATTGCTAAAAAGAGCTATCATATATTGTTACATCAATATAAACTCAATCACATTTGACTTGTCATTCAACAAATTTCCATCCTTTATCTGCCCCTTCATAGTAATAAAAAGTTTCATTAATCTAGTTTTTTTTCACTCACATACAGGGATGCAGAGTCCCAAAAAGGACTCCAGATTTAAGAGTCCCAAAAAAATTATTTCTTCCTAGTTTTTGGTATTTAGGAGCTCTAAAAATATAAATAGGGCTATAAACTACTTATGGAAAAAAAAATTAGACTTTTAGGTTAAAAAACAATTACATTTTGAAGCTGGAGTCATTATGTATAACGGTGGCAATGATAATGTATAACGTATGTTATATGTAACGTATTAACGTATGTTATAAAGCAATGTATAACGGTGGCAATGATAAAGTCCAAGAATAAAACCTTGTAGTACCCCAGAAGTTACAGAAATAAAAGGCAGTGCCTATTAAAGACAACTTTTATACTACAAATAAAGATTTTTACTTCAAGAAATCTTATGGAGAAAACCATTGCAGAAGACTTTAGGAATAGCCTTTAATATGTCAATAGCAATTGCCTTAGCCACACGGCTTTTGTCTAATGCAAACAAAGACCTTTCTGTTATTTGCAGTTAACAAGTCAGCAGTAGAACAAAAGGATCAAAAAAGATTGGACTCGTTAGTACTCGTAGACTCAAGATGAGATATAGGAGCTTGTTAACTAAAGAGTCTCATTTAGTCAGACAATAATTGGATTGACCAAAAAGATCACAGTTTTGAAATAAGGATTAATGTTACTTTATAGATAAATAAAGATTATTTTTTCATAACAAAGTCAGGTCATGTTATGATCATTGTGATCACCCTGTTACTGGTAACATTTAATCTAGTACAACTAACCACATGTCCTGATACCTTGTATGACTTTAATATAACGACTTTCTTTGCAGATTAGTTAAACAAACTTATTTTTTTTTGTTCTTTCAAATGCAAAAATATTTTCATTCCACTTAAGAATCTCTTTAAATAAAATTACAGATATTTAAAAAAATAACATACCATTTACTTTTTTAAACATAGAAGCCATAAGCTCCAAATAATCGTGGTCTAAAAACCAAACACTTTGATCTTTTTCATCTTCATCAAAAGGCACTATGAATAAAATAACAAAAAACTTAGAAATACTTTTATTATATTAAAATATAAACCTAAAAAATCAACTTACTTAAAAAACTATTTATTTAAAAAGAAGACCAAGAAAATGCTTGACAGAAAATTTGAAAATTGGGGAGAAGTATCTTAATCAAATGATAACAGGGAAATTTTTCTGAAATCTTATAAACAGAGGTTGTATTAAAAGAAGGGAGTGGGATTATGTCTCCAGATGTAATAAGTGGGTATTTCTTTAAAAAAAAGGATCTTTTGAGTGTTAATAAACAGAGGGATGGATGAATTCTCTCAATGTACAAACAGAAGAAAATCAACAATATCCAAACAGTATTTTTTACCAACTTTAAAAACAAAATATAAACATAATAATTTATCAAAACAAATCGTTAAAAACATTCTTTATTGAATCATTATCTTCATTATGCTCCACTTAAATTTTGATCTGACACCATGTTACATAAGAAAGTATTTTTTACATAACAAATAATTTCAATGGCTTATAACTAAAATCTCCAAACTCAAACTAAGCTTTAAATTATTAACAGAAGCGCCATCTATGATAAAATCAATCAGTGGAAATATTTTGATAAAACTAAATATAATCTGGTTTTTGAAAAACTAAACATGATTTACATAGTTTTACTGATATTAAATTAAATTATGGCAACAAAAAAAAAAAATCTTTAACAAATGAAGTGATTGCTATCCTTTTTAGCTTAAACTTCTTTCAATGGATGATTGATGGAAAGAAAATTAAGTATATACGACTTATCAAATGCCTGCAAGCTAACGTATCAATGTTAAAAACAGCATTCCAACTATGGAATTTAATAGAACAAAGAGCAAAATTTAAATTTTTGATGGAAGAGAAAATTTCTAGAGGAGTGAACAAACTAGCTGTGGAAAATATATTAGCATTAAATACTATAAATTGGTGGAACCGTGTTGTTTTGACAAATGGGTCATTCCAGCCCAATTCAATTCATGCCCGGCACCATGCCACCTCAGATTTTGATGATTCTTGGTACACAAACTTAAATAAATAAAGGAAAACTTCACTCCAACTTTTGGTGTCTAACTCCTTACAGTTTCAAAGATATGGATATTAAGTCATAATCTCATTTTTTTTTACTGTTTCAGTGTCATTTATTTTTTAAGCTAATTGCATTACACAAATAACTTTAACTTATGAAATACTTGCTCAATAGTGTTAAAAATTTGTAAGTAACTATTTTTTAGGGAGAGAAACTCAAAAATGATTTCTAAAGCACTAAAAAATTAAAGCTTCAGTATTAAAATTCGATTTAAAAATGGTGTAACACTTTTTATAGGTTTTCTGATGCTGTGTACAAAAAGAAGTATATCTTAAGATGAAAAGATATGATCATGAAATTTTTTCCTGTTTCAATATATAACGAACTCCTTATTACAAAAAAACTGTGAGGTTTTTTTTTTTGAATTTGATATATTTGCATTGGAAGTTTTCAAAATAAAAAAAAAAAACTAAGAAAAATTGTTATTTTATAATAAAAAAAATTATTTACATTTATTTTTTTGCATTTTTTTTCAAAGGTTTTAGAATTTCAGGTAGAGTTCTAATATATGAACTTGTTTGGATTAAACATTAAAGATCTTTACTTTATACAATTTTTAATTTAAATCATTAAATGAAGGATTATTTATTTACGAATCTTTAAATAATAATTATTTTAAAATTATTTCTTACAGAACTAAAAAATAATATAAAAATATGAATGATAATTTTGTCACAAACAAACATATGTGAAATCCAATAATATCAAGAAAGTTTGTATATAATGTAGAAAAAGACTTAATAGTTGGTCACTCTGGCAATGAAATTGATGAAAATACAATGGTTTGCTTACACCATGAATATGTTTACTTAAAATGTTACTCCAGAATCCACATAACTTGCTGCGATCCATTTAATTTACACAATGGAAAAAGAAGAAAAGGTATTATTAATTAACTATGAAACTTTTATTGTAGTTATATATACTTGATTTTTTTTTTAAAAAAACTCACTAGTTTACAACTTGCTGAAAAAATGAATACCATTGGTATTAATGTTATTCCTGGAGAAAAGACATTTCCATCAATTAAAATTAAATTGATTTCATTTAAGGATGATGGACCAGGAGAACTGACATGCAGCCAGATTTATGAAGATAAAGATAATGAAGTTACTTTAAATGAATTGTTAAAAGAAAACCTCAATTCTTTTTTGAGTACTATGAATATAAGTCCTCTCAAAATGCATGCTGTGAATACTCACTCGGTAAAAAGAAATTATTACATGTTCAAAAGTCAAGTTAGGTATTGCAAGAACTTTAAATATAAATCCTGAGCAGTCAAACCAAGATTAAAACCAATAAGATTCCCTCAATAAAATATTTAAGGAAGTTAAACATAAAGCAAATGACATGGATATACAAATATGAAAAATAAAATAAAAAATGTTAATTTCCAATCGGAATCAAAAAATTCAATTAATAACACTGGTTCCAATATTTTGGTCTAACAAATGTATAGAAAAAGAATTTAATGTTACTAACTATATGGAGCAGATATCACGCAAACTGCTGCAGAAAAATGGTATTTTATCTTCCCCTGAAAAAAAAATGGAAAAAAGATATCTCAAGAGACTTTAGATAAAATTATTGAATTTTATTGTAATGATGAAAATAGCAGGCAAATGTCTGCTAAAAAAAATTTTGTGAGTATATTTCGAAGATCTCATATGCTTTTGATTCTCTCAAATCTAAAAGAACTGTAACTTTAAAACCAGTTATCCTGATATAAAGACTTGTTTTTCTAACTTTTGCTCACATCACCCAAAATGGTGCATTACAGTAGAAGCATTTGGTACGCATACAGTGTGTGTGCACACACCATCAAAATGTGAAGTTAATGATTAGTGCAGTTGAATTATCAAAGGATTATCATGAACTTATTGATATACTTTTTTGTAGTAGGGCTAATAAGAATTGCATGATACATTGTTGCCCTTTGTGTCTAGAAGATTCTATATTAAAACATTATGATGAAAATAAATTATACTTTCATAAAGATATTGATGAAAGTGATGATTATTGTATAGATTACAAACAATGGAAGACAACAGACCAATCTGAGCTAATAAGTCTAACAGAAATCAGAAGTAACTTCATTAATACTCTAATAAATAAGTTACAAAAACTTACTGTTTGTTCTTACATAGCAAAAAGTCAAGCTGCTTTTTTAAGGAAATTAAAAAATGAGTTAAATAGTACTGAGGTCATAGTTGTTTGTGATTTCTCAGAAAATTATGAGTTTGTTGTACAAGATGAAGTACAAAGTTTTCACTGAAACAAAATTCAAGCAACATTGCATCCAACAGTAGTTTATTATAAATTAAATAATATCTTTTCAATTCGTTTCATCTCAGATGATTTGCTGCATGATGTAAATATGGTATATCATGTGATGAAGTTAACAATTGAATATATTAAAAATAAAATTTCTCATCAAATAGAAACTGTTCGTTACTTTTGAGATGGGTGTGCTGGCCAGAACAAAAACTGCAAACACTTTATAAATATATGCCACCATGAACAAAATTTTGCTATAAAATGTACATGGTCTTTCTTTGCAACAAGTCACGATAAATCATCCTGTGATGGTATTGGTGGGACTGTAAAAAGACTAACTTCAATTGCTAGTTTTCAGAACAACAACAAATCATATACTTAGAGCATCTGCAATGTTTTATTTTTGCCAAAATAAAATCATAGAAATTAATTTTTATTATTCTAAGGAGTCAAACAAGATCCAAAGTGAAATGGAGCAAAGAAATGCAATTGCAAAAACATTACCAGGCACTCGCAGCTTTTCAAAAATTTTCAAAGTGATGAGATTATTAAAGAATGCTTGTTTAATATAACCAATGGAGTGTTAGTATGTTTAATATATGATAACAATCCATAGATTGGACTAGTTGAGGATATTGATGTTGAAAATGAAGACTTTTAAGTTAGATTCATGCATTTTACCCTTCAAGATCATATTGTTGGCCTTCTAGAGATGATTTGTGCTAAGTTCCATCAACAAACTTATTGTTAATGATTAACATTCCAACCACTGTCACAGGAAGACAATACAAAATCAGTGAAATTGATCACCTCTAAGCATTAAAAAAAGCTGAGCAAACTTTAAATTAGAGAACCAATATTTTATGAAGCTGTTAATTGTTAAAGATTGTTAATTCATAATTTTTTTTACAACTATTAAATTATTTCCATGGTTCATTTTTTTAATTTTGACATTTTTTGTGTTTAGTATTATAAAACTTCAAACGCAAATAAATCTGATTTAAAAAAGAAAAACCTTTGAGTTTTTTTGTATTATGGCATTTGTTACAATTAGAACATTAGAAAAAAACTTCAGAATCATATATTTTAGGCATCTCAAGGTAAACATTTTTTTTGTCAAAAACCATTAAAAAAATATTACGCCATTTTGAAATTGAACTTTAATATAGAAGCTTTAGTTTTTTTTAGTGGTTTAGAAACCATTTTTAAGTTCCTCTCCTTAAAAGTTAGTTACAAATTTTCACTACTATTGAAATAGTATTTCATAAGTTAAAGCTAGTTGTGTTATGCAATTAGCTTGAAAAATAGTCAAAAAAGAGGTTGGAACTAAGTATCAATGAAACTATAAAGACTCAGACATTAAAATTTGGAGTGAATTTTTCTTTCATTTATATAAGCTTGTATTCTAAAAATCATCGATATCCAAGACGGCACGGTGGCGAAAATTTTTTTTTTTGGTTGGTTTGAGATGGAATGACCCTAACCTAAAATAAATATCACTAATAACTGATAAAATTGTATATTATTTGACCTTATTTTATTACTAGGTGTTAAAAAAAGAAAATATAAATAAATGACAAAAGAATGACTTTTAAACAATGATTATTTTTTTAATGTATTATTCTTGGGAAAGATTTAATTCTTTTATAATAACATTGTAATAATCAATTAATCCTAATAACATTGTAATAATCTGTTAAAATTTAATAAAAAAGTATAAGAATTTAAAAAAAAAGTTTTACCGATTTCTGAATGAATAAATGACCATGTGATGCTTGCTATCCAGGAGTCCCATCTGTCATAACAATTGTTAGGACTCCAGGACTATATAAATTTTATAATAGTTTATGAAAGATTTGTAACTAACTCTTTTTAACTAAATAAGTTATTTGATTTTATTAACTCTATATATATAATTAACTCTATAAGTTAATTGATTAAAATTTTTTTACCCAACAGTTATATAACTTTAAACCAGTAAAAGCTCTCTGGCTTATAAATTATTCAAGAATGTGCAGCATGTTTATGCTATACATCGCCTCTAGCAGACATTTTTTTAAAAGAATATAAGAGGCAAATCACAGCATATGCGGTACACAAAACCTTTGGTGTAAACTGATAACTAGATGCCGAATTATGCTTAGGCTAGGGTTGCGATTGTCCCAGTTTTTCTGTAGGAGAATATTAATTTTAATTAGTTTAGCGCATGCTTTCCTACATAAAAAGCTGGACAACATTAGCTTAGACACAAATATTTACACACTCAAAACCTAGTGCAGCTGTGGCGCAGTGGTTAGAGTTCTGGCTCAGAACCATAAGGATTAAAAACGAAGAGGTCTTTTTCGACACCTGTGTTGATGCCAAAGTAAATGAAAGTATTTTTTTAACACAGTTTCCTAATGATTTTAACTAGCAGATATGGTTCTACTAATAAAATATTTTTTAAATCTTTTTAAACACAGAAAGTATCATTTTACAAGTCTAACAGTTGAAGTCTATAAAATGTGTCTGAGCACATCGCCAGAATAAAATTCTTAATATTTTTTGAGTCGCTATAATTTATTCTTTAAATAAAATAAAAAGGCATTACAACATTTTAGTTTAATTACGCGTCTATTTTACAAGTTATAAAGATTTTAGTAACTACCTTTTGTGGGTTATTTAACTAATTATACAATTTTGGGAAAGGTATAAAAAAGGAGAAGGCCAATAGGGGAGAAACAAGTTGAGTGTGGTAATGAAATTCTGAATTTTTTGCTACCCAGGTGAGCACTCACCACTTGTACAATTGAAGTTAACAAGTTTGATATATAAAGTATATCAGTAAAAATACCTATAAACTAAAAGAAATACTTATTTTTTGAGCAAACAAACAAAATCAAAAATAAATTTTAATTTTTTACAGCATAATTGAAATTTTATTTAGTCTACTCTAGCATTTTAGGGACAATTTCATCACTAATAAATCTAGTTAGTTGACTCAAAATTAGAAGAAAGAAATTCAGTGTTCAGAGTCCATTTTTAGACCCCTGAGTCCAAAGTCATTGAAAATTGATAGAACTTTGCATCACTGCTTGCTATATATTTTTATATACTTTTTCAATTAATTGCTTTTAATAAACTTGATACTTCAATAAAAGCCTTGGGGCTTTTAGTTAAGTAAAGGGTAAAGATGGTGTCTCGATAAAAATACTCATCTTGGGCAGATGTTGAACATGTCCGGCTAATGTCTTGTAGAAGGCCTCCTAGGTAAAGACTTACAATGTAAACAGATTCTATCTGTTGACCAGCTTTGCACCCCTTCTTTATCTATTAGGGTGGTACAGATATATTTTTAATACATACATCATTTCCAGTTTAAGATGTTAAATGCTGGATCTTCTTGACTTAATGCATGGGTTTTGCTTGTGCCTCTGTTTTTAATACTAGGCAACTCATTCTGTTTTCTCCTAATGAGGGTTCATTGATTCCATCAATAGCTGTAAAATGTCAGAGTACTAAAAGTGCTGTGTTGTGCATGGATGGTGTCGCTGTTTGTACTTTTTGTGTGCATTGTCGAGGCCACATTTAGAACCCTTTGTTAGAGCTTAGGGTTTATTAATAGTGATGAGGCTATACCTTGGACTATTAAATAGTGTACTGAGTTCCATCTATGCTTTGAGTCAAGTTCTTTAACAAATATAAAAAAATGATTAAAGTATTAAAAACTGTAAAACACAAAAAACCATTGTCATCACCAAGTTCTCTAATCCTATCATTCACTCTGTTGCCTTTCTCATTGTTCTACATGCTCTCTTTTATCTCAAGACTGCACTATTTTTGATGTTATTTCTGATCAAATTGACCAGCCCTTTCTCTTTATCCTTTAACCGATATTGTTGTAGGTGATTTTATTGCTCATCACACTGAATAGCATGGCTCTAGTGTCAGTGACTCTACAAATGTTTAAGTCCACAACTTTCGCATTTCTCAATTTCTAACTCAAATAGTGAACTTTCCAACTTGCTTTCCAGACAATCCGAATCAACTTATGTCTTGTTTCTGATCCTAGTCAGTACTTAGTTTCTCCACATTCACCTTTAGGTCCTACTGATCAAGGTTTGGTCTCTCTAAAACAATTATCTCATTCATCTTCATCATCTGAACCCACTATCATCCTACTTCTTACAACTACTTTAAAGCTTACTAGGACTCTTTCCATGATTTTCTTTGTGATGACCCCTTGGTAGAAATCTTTCCTGCTAATAAATGTGCTTCTTACAAAACTTCTTGAATTCAGGCTGGCATGGAATCTTTTATTACCTCTTGACAATTCAAAGTCAAGCCCCACTCTCCTCCATAGTTTACCTCTCATTGTGCTGCTGCAATTTCCAATCAAAACCATTACTTCCATATCTGCCAGCAAAACAATTCTCCAGAAAACAGTTGCCTGTTTAAACTATGTTAGTTGTCTGTTAGAAACTATTGTAAAAAGGTTTTGTCTAACGACAAAGCCCACTATTCTCAGGTCATAAAATCTTGTATTTCATCTCAAAAATTAGGCACTCGTGACTTCTGGAGAATCTTTAATAGTATCAATAAAGGCAAATCTGTTATTCCACCTCTCTTGTATGGTTCAGATTTTGTCACCTTACCTTATGACAAAGCTGAACTGTTTGCTGAGAACTTTTCATCAATATCTCTTGATTCTGCTAGTTGCGTACTACCTGATTTTGCCGACAAACAGGTTGATTGATTGCTTGACATTCGTATTACTCCAGCTTCTGTATCTAAAGTGATTTCTTGTTTAGATTATTCTACAGCTTGTGGTCCGGACAAGTGTTCTCCAGAGCTGTCATGAATACTTTCAAATCTATTTAACAAGTGCTTATCAGGGTCTTGTTATCCAGCATGCTAGAAAACAAGACCCTGATAAAAATTTATGGAAAATTCGTTTTAAACAAAAAGTGTATCGTCTTTAAAAGATGTTGAGGAAAAAATAAATAAATAAATACTAGTTAAGTTTTATTTTTGTATATATTGGTCTTTTAACCAAATTATAGTTTTGAAAAGTATAAGCTTTTCATTTCAATAATAAACTAAACTTTTTAATGCAGGAGCATTGTTACATTTCAACCAGGAATTTAAAACTACAAAAAATTTTAAGAAAAAATTGAAAACAAAACATTTTGTTTATTTTAATACCAGTTAATATTCAAAACTGATTATGTACAATACTTTTAAATTTCTATACATAGTTTTTTAAAGCAATGCTTCTTTATATATAGAGCATTGGAAGACAGTATGTCTAGATTTATACAGTAAGAAATTACATTGAAAATAAATCAAAACTAACAACATATTTTATAAACATATCAAGAAAATCTAAACACAAAAGAAAAGAAAAAATACATACAAGCCATTAGTAATCATTGTACATTAAATTATTAATGTCAAAATTTTGAAATAGGCCTGTGCATTTTGTTTAAGGTGTAGACATTAAATCAGGAAGTTTATACAAATACTCTATATTTAATGATTTGATTATTAGGAAAAATAAATTTTGTAAATGAAGTATTTTTTATAAAATTTATGAAAAATTTGTTATCATCAAGAATGTTTTCTATTTGTTCAATAGATAAGCTTTTTTGTAGAAAACTTAAAACAAAATTTAAACCAATGTTTAATAAATGATAATCATTGAAATATATTAAAATATTCAACAAATTAAAAATAAAATCTTTCATTGGACCAACAGTAGATGTATTGAGTTTGCCATACAAAAAAAATTTATCATCTTTTAAATTAGAATATGATAATAAACTAATCTGCAGAATTTGTATTATTGTTGGTTTTTTTTATTACTTTAATTAATTTTGTTTACTATATTTTTGCTTATAAAAATCTGAAACATGGTTATGTACAATACTTAAATGGTTAAAATAATAACTTAAGAGAAAGTTTTACATAAACTAAAGAGAATTTATTACATAAAATTAACAAACCTGCAAAACTATTAGCAATATCAAGAACTTTATTTCTGATAGAACCTAATAACACACCAACTACTCGTTTCTGATTACCAACTTTAGCCATTCTGTTAAAATGATCAACAACACTTAGCAATACCAGAGGGTGAACAACTACTTTCTCAATTGCATCCCGTGAGTTTAACAAAGTTTTTGAATGCTGTTCATCAAGAAGACCCATTTTAACTAATTTTATCTAAAAATTAAAACTATAGTTATACTTTTGAATTATATATACAGCTGGTCATAAATCATAAAAGATTTCTTCAAGTGTGTCACTTGTGCATATACATTAAATGTATATGCCAAGATGTGTAGGTATATATACTATGGCACAGTGGTTAGAGTTTTGGCTTAGAACCAAAAGGTTCGTGTTTTGTTACAAACTTTAGCAAAACTGGGATAATTTTGGAGAAACATCAAGTATTCTTGGAGCACCTCAATAACTATTAGTGGTTGTTCAAATGCAAAGCCAACGATAAGATTGAATATAAAAGCATTGTATAGAAAAATATAACATGAAAGTCGAATAAATTATATATATATATATATATATATATATATATATATATATATATATATATATATATATATATATATATATATATATAATTTATTTGACTTTCATGTTACAAAAGGGTTACAAAAGCCATCAAACAGTGAATTATTTAATAAATTTAATCATTTTTTGTATATTTTTTCAAGTTTTTTCAGTGAAATTATGTACAAAATTTATTTTATAGATCAAAATTAATGCACACTTTTGTTATACTCTGTACATACATACATACATACATACATACATACATACATACAAACATATTAAGTTTAACATGGCTCCACATATGGTTTATATGGGTTTCTGATATTCATTATGGAATGTCATTTGATACCACATTATGGAATGTCATTTAAATGACATTCCATAATGTCATTTAAATGACATTATGGAATGTTGAAGCAATTTTTACAAATGAGTGTCCTTCAAACCATTAATTTATTTGAATATTACTATTGTGATACAAAGAAGATCACCATCTAATGTTTATGGGTTACTTACTCTTAAGCACAATTAATTTGGGGGATAAGACATTGTGTGTGTGTGTGTGTGCGTGCGTATATTTAAATATACATAAAACATACATATGACATTTATCAAAAAAATAATTTATTTTGATTATTGAATTTTTGATTATTAAATCTTTTGCATAAAAAATATCTTTATTAGAGTGTACATTTCAAAAATCAAATTGAGAAAAATATATTAGTAAGATGTTAACTGAAATATATTAGTTTGGTACAAATTTAAATACACAGTAATCTAAACAAAATGCTTATTTATTAGATAAATATTAGAAGTTATACATTTTGAAGATTTTTATTGCTCAATAGGTTTTCAATGTGGATTATTTAAAAAAAATAACTTTTACTAATGTTTAACACATAAAAAATAGGTATTAAAAATTTATGCATATCCTGAAATTATAAAATTGAATTAAATAATTATGTTTAACAATAAATTTTACAAATGAAAGTTAAAAATAAATAATATCTACTTAAGTAATAAAAATATTCTAACATGCACAGTAAAAAAAATATGTTAATATTATTTTTAAATGATAATTTAAAAAAGGTATTAAAACTTTAATACTCAAACGCAATACATTTCTAGTTTTCTTTCGTCGCTATTTGTTTAGTTTTAAGTTTTATATAAATAACTAGTAAAATTAAAAAAAATAAACAAAGCAAAAATATCGATAAAAAAAAATATTTTTAGTACAAACTTAATTTCTGTTTCTTATATTAATCTAAGTTCATTTTACACTTTTTATTTATCGTAGATTCTTTGTTTTTATGCATCTCGTTTTATTTATTTTATTTTGAATTTTCTTTAATTTTTTTTATATTTGATAACTAATTTAAACTAACTGCTCATCAAATATAAAGAAATTAAAGGTAGGTCAAATAAAGAAAATATCTGATAAAAAATTTACATTCAAAACTTTATTAAAAACTGATATTAGCCTTAAAGAATAATTATTAGGAATAAAATGAAAAGTAATCTTATTATACTTGTGACTGCATTTAGTATTATTATACTAGAGATTTGCATTTGTTTAATTTATTGTAAACGCAAAAAATTGACTCAGCAAATTTACAACAGAATAAAACTCCCGTAAATAAAATCGGTTGAAATAAACTTTTTGAGCTTGAGCGGACAAACAAATTGTTTTTGATTGGATGTTCGATTTTCATCAAGTCTTAGACGCCATAATTTTACTGCAACTGAAGTCTATTCAATTTTAAAACTGCAACTGAAATTTTAGAATTAAATAGACTTCAGTAACAGACATTTTTAAAGAATTTAATCTATATAACTAAATAAATATTTCTACAATCGATTAACTCTTGTTTACATTATTGATAATTTTCTTTCTAAAAAGTTAACAAACAAGGATCTCATTTCAGGATTTTCCTAATGACATTCAAATTAACACTTTTGAAATTAAACTAAGAATGCGGAAATGGCTAGTGATTAATATACTCAATGCTTAGATCTACGTTTTGTAAGTTACCACCTAAAAAACTAATATATAGATCGTTTAAAAATTTTATATTTGATGTAATTACTTTTGGTAAGTTATTCAGCAAAGTTCTAAATTTGTATGCCTCTTTAAGTCTAAAATACTCAGAGGTAATTATAAAACAGTGGCTGATTCAGCATAAGGCGATGGGGGGTGAGCTGCCCACTGCGCTCTCTATGCCGGTCACTTGCCTCCCCCCCCCCTCCTAAAGTATAAATCTTTCATTACAAAAGTCTGCGTTTATACATGGAAGTACTATAGTACTTCCATGGATTATATTAAACGGAAATGGACAACTAGGTAACAACAAAACCCTTGTTTATACACCTGATTTATAAATTTGCATCCATTTATAGTAGAAAACAAAACGGAGGCTTTTTTTTAAAGAAAATATTTCTTATAACTCTAATCTACACAGCCAATGCCTTTTTAACATAGTTCGGTGTATCAAACTACTGTGACTGTACAGTGGCAGATGCTCATAAAACTAGGGGAGACCGGGGTTGGTTGCAACAGGGGTAAGATGCAACAATGCGTTTTAAAGAATAATTTTTACATATTATTTTTCAATTTTTTTACATTATATAACTATAATTATGACACGCAAGTTATAAAAAACTTATAGTAATAAACTTAAAAATTTAAAAGTTATTGATAATTGTTTTTTTTCTATATAAATTTCTAATTTTCGTTTCAATGTTTTTTTGGGTTTTACAAAAAACTAAGAAGTATATGACAATAATAAAATAATAGTAAGTTAAAAAAATCTTTTTCAAACACAAAAAGTAAAAAAAAATAGATTTTTTTAATATGGCTAATTGTATGCATTGATTAGAGTGATCATGATGCCTACGGGGTAAGTTGCATCAAATTGCTCGGGGTAAGTTGAATCACAAAAGAACTGCGGACTTTATTAATTTTACGCACTTTTCTAAATAATCGACTTTTTTTTAATAACAAGACAGCAAAGAAGTTTTTGAAAAAAAATTATAATTTTAAAGATAAGACTATGTAACGTACATATGTATGTTATATTTATAAAGCATATGTATATATGTCTAATAATATAAAAGATAAGTTTATATTCTATGTTTATATTTATATTCGAGGATTATATAATCCTCGAATATAAATATAAACATAGAATATAAACTTATCTTTTATATTCAAAGACATATATATATATATATATATATATATATATATATATATATATATATATATATATATATATATATATATATATATATATATATATATACATACATATATATATATATACATATATATATATATATATATATATATATATATATATATATATATATATACAGTGTGTATATATATATATATACAGTGTGTATATATATATACAGTGTGTATATATATATATACAGTATATATATATATATATATATATATATATATATACAATGTATATATATATATATATATATATATATATATATATATATATATATATATATATATATATATATATATATATATATATATATATATATATACATTTATATATATACATTTATATACATACATACGTAAAAGTTATAATTACATTATTAAAATATTATTATTATTAAGTACATACTTAAAACATTAATAGGTATATAAATAAATGTAGCAATTTAGACTAAATTATATAAAATGATTTTTGTAATGTGTTTTTTTATTGTTATGTTATTTAGAGGTTTAATAAAAATTGTAAATGCGAACTTACAAGAGAAAAACTGAAAAAGGACTTTATCCAAAAGAAGTAGTAATAGAGGCAGCAAGCCACGTTATTGATGGAAGAGTAACATCAGTTCGTGCATCAGCAAAAAAGTTTGGAATCCACTACTCGACTCTTTCTCGTTATATAAAAAAAGTTAAAAAAGCTGTTGATATGGGAATGCCACTACCTTATCCTGGATATAAAAAGAATCAAGTTTTTACTTATGAACAAGAAATAGCTATTGCTTTATATATATCAATATGTTCTGATATCTATTTTGGATTATCACCATATGAAACAAGAAAGCTTGCATTTGAATGTGCAGTAAAGTATGGTATTATTTTTCCCAAATCGTGGTTAAAACATTCCATGGCTGGTCCTGATTGGATGAGAGGGTTTTTAAACCGACATCCAAGATTGTCTATCAGAACTCCAGAAGCAACAAGTCTTGCACGAGCAACTAGCTTTAATCGTGCTAATGTAGGTGTTTTTTTTCAAAAATTATCAGATGTTTTAGATAGGCATCATTTTTCTGCATCAAATATCTTTAATGTTGATGAGACTGGTATCACCACTGTGCAAAAACCAAACAAAATAATTGCTCGTAAAGGCATTAAGCAAGTGGGTGCATTAACTTCTCAAGAGCGAGGGACATTAGTGACAATGGTAATAGCCGTAAATGCATATGGCAATAGTGTGCCTCCAATGTTTCTTTTTCCAAGAAAGAAATTCTTTGATCACTTTATTCGTGATGGGCCAAATGGCTGCATTGGTGCTTCGAATGGATCAGGCTGGATGAATGAGGAGTGCTTTATTACTTACATAAACCACTTTATTCGACATGTAAAGCCATCAAAAGAAAGCCCTGTGTTATTACTTTTAGACAATCATCAATCTCATTTATCTATTCAATTAATAACATTGTGTAAAGATAATGGTATAGTTTTGCTTTCTTTCCCTCCTCATTGTTCGCATAAGTTGCAACCTCTAGATAGATCTGTATTCGGACCATTTAAAAAATGCTTAGCTAATGCACAAGACTCATGGATAAAAAGTAGTCCAGGGAAAACAATGAGTATATATGATTTACCAGGAATTGCAAAAATAGCATTACAACATTCTCTTACACAACAAAATATATCTTCTGGTTTTAGAGTGGCAGGAATATTGCCATATAATAAGGATATATTTTCAGATGCAGATTTTGCTCCATCATTTGTTACAGATCGTCCAGCAACCCAATCTAATGCAGCTATTGATATTAGTATATCAACTTCAACCTCAGATGCAATTCCATCTGCAGTTTCAAAATTTTCCCCTGAGGTTGTAAGACCGCTACCAAAAGCACGACCCAGGAAAGAAATACTCACTAGATCAAAGAGAAAGCATACAGAAGTACTCACAGATACACCAGTAAAACAGCGTCTTATGGCTGAAAAAGAAATTAGTTCTAGAAAGCGAAAATCTGCTAGTACTTCTGCATCAAAAAAAAAAACAATAAAAAAGTATAATTGTTGACTTGAAATGTAATGAAACTCTTTAGTTTCTTTAATGCTAGTTTGTTTTTTTATGAGCCTTTATTGCTTGGAAATTTTTTTTTTTGTTATCAAAGTTAGATTATTGTTTATTTTTATGAAAGTTGTGTTTTATATTATTTATAAAACTACTCTTGCATTTTTATAAATTGATTTAATGTTTACTGAATAACTAAAGGAATACTTTTTTAAAAAAACACTTAAAAGTTTAAATAATATATGAGCTTAAATAATAATCCTCATTATTTTCTTTCTTCAGTTTTTAAAGTCTTTGAATGTAAGCATTAGTTTACTAAACATGTCAGGTACATGTCAAGTCTAAAATACTACTTTTCTTTTCTTTTAATTATAATGTTTTGTTGCCAAATAGAAATTACAGATTAACTAGTAATTTTTATGTGAACTCTGCAAAGCTTATACTTTAAAAGTATTGTGTTGCAACTTGCCCCGTGCACTGTTGCAATTCGCCCCGGTGCGGGGTAAAATGCAACATATTTTTGTTTCACTATTGCGGAATAACTAAATTTGATATTTTATTTATCAATGTTGGATTAATACGTAACTTAAATCTATTTTATAACCCTGAAAAATAAAATCGAAAAAATATATATTTAAAGGGTATAAGTTACGTTTTTAAAATTTTGTTGCAACCAACCCCGGTCTCCCCTACAATGACTTTACAAACGGTATAAGATATTTTTTTTAAAGAGAGAAAAACAATTATAAATTAACTGATTTCAACATTGTGTAGCAATTTAGATTTGTTTTTAACTGTTAAAAAAGTTTTCGGCAAAAACCCGTATGGCACGCCCTCCCCACTTGAAATCTAGACGCGCCAGCTCTTCTTTCGAAGATGTGTATGCATTAATATCTATAGCAACGACAATTGAACTACAAATGATAGACGTACATCCATTCTTAAAAAAAAGTAGATGACATCGTGTTTTCCTAACTTGCCTATACTTTACAAAATTAAATTGATTTTTCCTTTTACATTTGCTTGATGTAAAAGGAAGAGTCAAATTGATGTGAGGTGTTTCTGTAGATTAAATGTTATTAAAAATTATCTGTGATCAACAATTACAAAACAATGTCATATGTTCTATACAACGCCTTAAAGATGTCACAAGTCCATATGATAAAAGACGAAAATAAATTTATTTCTTAATATTTGCTTACAGTAATAACATAATGCAAATACATTTTTAAATAACCAAACCATTGCAATAATATTATATGATTTTCTTT